TATTAAAATTATAATAACCAATATGTTTCAGTAATACTAATTTCTAATTCGTTGAATATCTTAATCGAAGTCCCACTTGGCTACTCCTAGATGTACCTACAAACTAGCAGAATCTAGCAAATAAATGGTCTAAATTGTAAATGAGATAATAAAATATTTCAAGTCATTGAACATCATGACTAATAAAAAATTGAGATAGAAATATATAATTTTTTGTACAAGAAAAAAAATTAATCAGTTCGGTTAAAACTAATTTCTAGAACATTTTGTCTATCAGCTGAAATGCCTACAGCTAGCTGATTATATCTAAAATTGATGAATAAATAATATCACTAAATGTCATAAATATAAAAAAAAAAATAAAAAAAATTGAAGGTTAAAGTTCCTCCTCCGGTATGCTTTGTAGATCAGGCTTCCAACTCACCCGACCAATTCCACCTCTCACTTGACCGGCCGCCGCCGCCCTCGCGGCTTGCCTCCTCCGCAACAAATTCATCCGCTGCTCCAGCGCCGCCTGCACCGCCAACTCGCGGCCGTCCTTGATCGCCTCCAGCACCTGCTTCAGATCCTCCCTCCGCACCACGATCTTCACCCGCCCACCCTCCACAGCCGGCATCTCGCCGCCGGTGAGCCGCCCGATCACCTCCAGGATACTATTGCTCGCCCCCGGTTTCTGGCCTCTTCCGGTTGATCTCGAGAATCCGAAACCTCTCCTCGGCAACAATCTCTGATCCTCAGCAAGCTTCGACTCCATTATCATCGCCTTTTCTTTAATAGGTACGTGCAATTGTAAATAACTGTATACACTTCTCTGCGGTGAGTGATTAATTAACTGTGTGCCCTTTATCGTGCTGTGCGTGCAATTCGATTGCCCAAACTGCTATTTTGGTGCGGGATATTTATAGTGTTCGTAATTCTTTGGTCCAATCCAACATATTTCTTATTTTCAATAAAATATGATAGGAAATTAAGCATATATTTAAAAAAAATTGGGCACCTTACAATGTACCATATTTTGTGGTGTATTTGATTGAAAACAAGGGTCCATTGCGTGTATAAGTTGGCTAATGTTTACTTAGTATTAGTTTTAGAATAACATATAAATTTCGGGCATCCTATTAAATTTAACAAATTCACATGCAAAACTATAACTTGCGGGGAACATGAGATATTATTGTTCACATGCAAAACCATATATATTAGCCCAAAAACTATGATGACGAATGGAGATTGTCATCACAAATTATTACCCTGACCTTCGTTAGACGGGTCGGTCCACCGTGCTCTACGAACAAATGTAAATAACTAATATACTATCAAATGTCATGTTTCTGTTTATAATGTATGTCGAATAATGATATTACCGAAGGAAACTATGTATATTTTTAAAAAAATTGTGAGTATGTCGACCTAATAGTTAGATCGGTCTAACACAAGACCTATAGCATGCTATTTGTCCTTTTATTTAAATTAGTCTACTCTTTATAGTTGTTAAATAAAGTATATACTTATATATCGTAAAAATAGGGGCGCAACCAAACATTTTTTTCACTCTGGGCTGCAAAACGTGCAATTATTATTCAAATCGAATTGTCCGCTATTACTGTTCGGTTGGACTTGTGTACCACAACTCACTTAAACATATAAACAAGCTGAAGTCAAACATGCTAATCGAATTTTTCTATCAAACAATTCGAGTTGAATGCGATTGACTCGGTAAGAATTTTGATTTTGGTTTAGGTTTGAAAGTTTATTAAATGAGTTTAAATGATCCAATACTCGAGCTCATATTTTTGTTTGTTTATTAAACGAGCAGAATCATGTCAACTCGTTTATTAAATGTGCACGGATTATAAACACGAAGTACTTGGCTCGAATAACCTAGGTAGACGGATGTATAAAAAAATAAAAGTATGAAAACAATTTTGAAGTATTGATAAAAATTACATGAATCACGCATTAAATAATATTAAAATATAAATGTTGTATTTGTAGAATAAAAACGATTACTATACTTTGTATTGTATTATATGGAGATGGACCTCCTAAAAAAATTTGTGAATTATTAACTACTCTTTTATACATATAAGAAATGATAAACTTTAGTTAATTAATTTTTTTCTTTAGAATGGAAAGATATTTTTTTTAAATACCTAAATTCTAGTTGGTAAAAACAACATATTTATTAGAAAGGTTGTCATGAGACGGTATGCTAATCTTTTTATTTTTGTTGTAGCTAGTACCTATCATTTAAGGTTCATATATCATTTTATTGAATATGCCACACAAATAAATAGGCAAAATTTCAAAATTGGTCATATAACTTGGCCACAGTCCAAAAAACCACCCCTATATATTGACCACTTTCAAATTGAGTCCGATAATTTGACAATTTAACCAATTTTGGTCCCCTTTTATCCTCCCCTGGATAAAATTATGACGTGGCTTGACTAAATCTGACTTGGCGCATAGTCAGACCCTATTTATGAATTTCGTGCATGATATGGAAATAACACCTAGATATAACACATTTGCCTAGTTATATCCATTTACGCCCCCGCCACCATCCCCTTGTCGCCGCCTCCTGCCTCCCGCCGCCGCCTGCCTCCGGCCAAACTGGCCGGATTTTAATTTTTTTACATCATTTTGTAGCTCTTCTTTGGGCCAACAATATATCAAAATTTCACACAAAAATTTCGACGGTAAGAATTTCAATTTTCTTGCCAAAACTTGTAGATTTACAAAAATATTTCTCCCTCCTTTTGCAAATTCCCGGTGACTCGCTTTGACCCAAGTGAATCCAAAGGTGCCTCCAAACTCCTCTCGCCGAGCCGCATCTAGTGATGTCCACTATTGCCGTAACTGATGAATTTTTTCTGGCAACGAACTTTCCGGTCATCTTCTCTGCGAGCCACCACTTCAGTCCGGCGATATCGAGCTCCACAGCGCTGCGCGACCACGACCTACAGTCAGCAGGACGCGACCCGACCTCCGGCGAGCGCGAGCTTTACTCCGCGACCGACCTCCGACAGGACTTGCTGGCACTGTGGAAGTTCACCGACCGACCTCCGACGAGTGCGAGCTTTACTCCGCGACCGACCTCCGATGAGGCTTGCTCCCTCACAGTGGAAGTTCGCCGACCCGACCTCCGGCGAGCGCGAGCATCACTCCGCGACCGACCTTCGGCGAGCCTTGCTCCCTCTTCACCGCTCGTTTTTTTATTTTTATTTCTTTGATTTAA